AAGTGCCTTGATGAAAACGTACAATGCAAAAACAAAGAAGAAAAATACTGAGAAGAAACAGTTTGTAACAGATACTGAAAGTGATATACAGTTATGTTTCTGTTACTTAGAAAAAAACCTCAATGTCCACAGATTTCTGAGCAACAAATAAAAGGAATAATTTTTTCTGATATTCTGCAGTTCAGCCACCTCCAAAGAACAGCATTTGTAGACCAAAAGGCATATAAATAGCATGGAAATAATGAAAAGTAAAAAAAGTTTTTAAGGGGGTGATAACCTATCAATTTGAAAATATTCTAGTCACACCTATGGGATTCATACAAAATCTTTGCTTATCTATATTCACTGGCAACATTGTAACTAGCTCATATTCTATTTGACAAATACTAGAAACAAAATGGCTTCACAGACTGGGAACTTGAGTTCATTACCTTTGCAAGTCATGTCTATGAATTGAAAAAGAAAACACTATAAATTTCAGTTTCAGCTCCCTGCTTCCAAAACATAAGGGAAATAAAACAATTTGCAGCTGATTTCTTTCCAGGATGACTGAGGAATAGCTTCCTCCAAAGAAGAACATTTGCTAATGAAAGAGGTAAACACACACGCTAAAGTGTTTTTTTACAGACTAATTCAAGCAGTGATCTGCCCTTCCCCCCCAGAAAGGCTTCATAATTGTCCCTACTGTCCCACCATACATCGAGACAAGGCTTTGAAGTTAGGAGGGAGAATGCCTTCTCTTTATCCCTACGAAAAACATCCTTTTTACACCCTTTGCTTCTTTTTATGATTTTCCCAAGCAAAATATGAAGGTTTTAGCTCTAGGTCTCTCAACAAAGAAACCTACCAGTACTCTCAGATACACCATCAAAGAGTGGCAATGTCTCGTTTTGTTTCTCAAGATCGCAAAGAGCATTAGCTCCTACCATTTCCCCCAGTGCAGAATATACATGAAGCCTGACACCCACAATCAATGTTTTGAAAACAAAATCTGCAGAGTACCATAATAAATTGGTACAATTCCCTTATTTGCTGTATAACTCTGGACTGTATCACACTGCCAGTTTACTGTAGTTCAATTTAAAATAAAATAATTTACTGAAATAATATCTGCAGTTCAGTAAAGTCTTCACTGAATAACTAGATTGTCTCAGGTAAAGTAATACAGTTAATCCTTCAGTACTTAAGATAACATATCCTTTTTTTTCTATCTTGTTAAATTATTCATCTCCATAATAGGAGTTTTATGCATATAATTAATTTTTTCTGTACTTGGCTGCCTTTCAGAACTCCCTGATTTATTGTGTTTCTGAGTCTGCCACACTGATATCAATTTCACATCTACTAATAAAGTCAGCAACCTTAAAAATAATGTATTCCTCAGCCAGTTACAATTTCTTTTAAATGGTTTACCCACAAACAATTTCTCTTTTTCAACATTTGAAATAATTTTGTTAGCTAAGAACTTTATTAAACAGCACAGCATACAACCTAAAAGGAAAATATCAAGAAGAAACTTCAGCACTTATCTGCCTGAAGGTTAGTCTTTCTAGTAGACTTAAGGGGAATCCAATTTTCATACATTAAAATGTCTGGGCACAGTAGCCTGAACTGGTTGGAAGAGGCAGGCACAGCCTAGATATGAGTGAGGCAGCTTTTTAGACACAGCTGGCATTATGGGAAAGTGCTGATGGAAGGCACTTTAGTCTTCATCTCTCCTTAGCTAAGTTAGGACATGTGAAGAATGGGCTACTTTTGTCAGTGGCAATTGGGTTGTCTAAAGGAAGAATGAAGGATTAAGTTAAAGTGCTGGTTTTGACTGGGCCTCATTTCCTCCGTAGTAGCTGGTATGTGCCTGTATTTTGGATTCATGCTGAAAACAGTGTTGATAACACAGGCATATATCAGTTGTTGCTGAGCAGGGCTCACACAACATCAAGGCTGCTTCTGCTACTCACCCCAACCCACCAGTAGGCAGGCTAAGGGGGCACAAGGAGGGAGGCAAGGATGGGACACAGCCTGGATGGCTGACCCTCCCTGACCCAAGGGATATACCAGACCATATGGTGCTGTGCTTAGCATATAAAGCTGGGTGAAGAAGGAGGAAGGGGGAGGATGTTTGGAGCGATGGCATTTGTCTTCCCAAATCACTGTTAGACTTGAGGGGGCCCTGCTCTCCTGAGAATGGCTGAACTCCTGTCTGCCAATGGGAAGTGGCTTTCCCTGTTACACTGCCATTATCTCAATCCACAGGTTTTCTCAGTTTTGCTCTTCTGATTCTCTCTCCAAACCTAGTGGGGGATGAGTGAGCAAACTTAGTTGCCAGCTGGGGTTAAACCATTACAGTTGCATTCCAATATATTTCAAATAACACAATTCCAATCCCATTGTGGATTATGCTGCTCATCCCTTAGGTTTCACACTCTTTCACTCCTGCAGTTCCAAAAGCGTCCTGTAGATGACAAGATGTATGTAAGATGAAACATCTGCAGACTTACTTGATTCTGCAAAAATATTCATGCTTAGCTCTCCCAGGATTAGCTACAATCCAAAAAGTTCATACAGAAGTGATTGTTACCAGTTTCTCTGTATGGACTAACTGTATAAGGTACAAAGTCGCTCCTTGCAATGCACACACAAAATATATGGACAGATAGGCATATTGCTATCACACCCTGCTCTAAAAACAGCAGCAAAACTCTACATGATAGGACATATTAATAATTGCAGATATGAACAATGGAAAGAGGGATCTGCAGACGGGCTGCAGAAGGAATTGTAACTGTTTACTTATCTGATTAATCAGCAGGTATAATCTGCTAGTGAACATTGCATGAAAAATAAGGTTACTCTGACACTATTTGGAAATAAGCACTGCGTTCTGAGTTGAGGTATAAACAAAAATGCAGTAGTTTAATAAACAAGTTGTTCATGTCTCCAGATGCTGATTTTATTTGATACAGCAACAATGCCAACAAATACCAGATGATAAAATAAAATTACACTCTTTATGGTAGTTTGTGAAGGAAATCATTTGAATAGCACACAAGGAAACATGGAAAATATGCAAGGAATGGAACATTTAGAAGACACCATGTAAAAGGATGTGAAACTCCTGCTTACAGTAAACACAAACAGCCTTTAGTTCAGGTTACATCATGTGGTTACAAAAAATAAGCTGAAGAAACAGAGTGTATGCATAGCAGATTTTTTGGGATATAGCTAAATAAATAAACAAACCTATACTCATATACTCATTTAGGAACCCAATGACTCATCTGTCCCGCTGGTTCAGATGTACATGAACAAACTACTGGTACTAGATGCACAGTCAATAGGCAAATTCAATAAAAAAACATTATAAGCAACTTTAATTTCTGCATGAGGGGAGAAAGGAGTTGTACAGTTTGGGTGTATTACTTGCAGACCTTAAGCCGGCACAAAATAATGTTGTAAAAGAGAGAAAAATATTGGGGTTTTTTTATAAGCATCCTTTGCCTTTTAATAAAGCCTGTAGGGTTTGACTGAGATCTATAACTCATTTCACATACAAAGAACTGAAACACCCATAGTCAAATATAGCACCTATTAAAAAATAGAGGAGTGTAGAATTCCTCTCAGTTTAACACATGTCGAGGGAGACACAATATTAGGCAACTTTTTCCATGATCACTGACTGGAATGAAATTCCATCTTGAAGTCTTACTTCAGAATTTAAGCCACAAGATACCCATCTCCATTACTATGTACTGCAGTGAGTTACAGGTTATAAACTACCCAAGAGGCCGTGAGGTTACATAAACTGCAACTGTATGACTCACAGTCCTGCATGTATAGAATCAGTTTTATGCTATCATAGTTGTATTACCTGTATCACAGAGCAGCAATGATGAAAGATTTTTAAATCTCTCTTGTTCTCTGAAAAGCAGTCACGTTTAGAGGACAGAGCCACAGACTTTAAAAGAATGATATCTGAATGAATCTGAGCCTTATGCTCAGATGTGCCACAGATAAGCTAAGAAAGCAGCTAACTTAAGTTCAGCACCTAGTAGACCCAATCTCTTTGCCACCCTTTTGACAAACCTTGTAAATACCCAGCTGGGGAAGCCCTACAAAGCTTCCATTTTCTTAATATCAGAAAAATCTGATTGTGCTAAAATTTGTTTGCTTGAGAACCAACCTAGGCACTAGAAAGTTTAGAAATGACAGCTCTGCTGTTGCACACAAAATTGATGCATTCAGTCCCAGCAGTAAGGAAGTTCGGAGTCCTCTGAGAAGAGATCACAACTGTGTTAGAAACTAGCTATAAAACAATAAATTCTGGCCTTTCCATCTACTGAGTACTAGGTTTCAGAAACAGTTTTTTGCACAGGATTTGCAGAGGAGGTTTTTCTTGATGGGAAGAAAGTGATTTGTATGTAGCTTCCTAGTTTTATACTCAGAAAAACACTGTGCATTCTATCTGCCACTCTAAATTTTCAGTGATGGTTGGGAAGAACCGATAGTTGTTGGCCTATGCAGCAGTATAAGCAATGAAGCACAAAGTTACCATTTAAAGAAATTATTGAAAAGCTCAAGAACTTGGTAACCTGCTGGCATGGATGGACCACTGAGTCCAAGCACTGGTCCTCAAGAAGTGAGAATGAATACTGAACAATGAACCCTCCCACTATCTCTCTCCCTGTCTTAAACTGGGAGCATCAGGCTTTTCTTTCACTGCTTCTAGTTCAGAAAAGTAGAAATATTCAAACTACTTCTTTTATGTTGATCTCCCATAAACAGACCACCATGCTTTCTGCCTAGTGCAATTCCCGGAGGTGCCATGAGTCACGAGATTCATCCAGTGATATTAATATCAGAAAAAAAAAAACCAAGTACTTTGTGAGATGCCCACCAAGTCACTTGGAGAGGGAAGAGAGAAGTGCAAGGCTGTAAGGAAGAAAGTAAAGTTACAATGTCAAAGGAGAAGACAAGAGAAAAAAAAACAGACTGCACTTTACCTTTTCTGGAAGCCCCACAGTGGTAGCAGCAGATCTTTGTGGGGCTGGACTCTTGCCCCAATCTTCCCTCTTGCCCCTTCTGGCAGTCTCAGATGTTCTCATTGAAGCAACAGCTATCACTCTGGCAGCAGCAGTGTGAACCCAGCTGACTAAGTTTATACGTGCAGTTATTTTAGCACATGGTCTTTTTCTTTGTTCTCAGAAAAAAAATCTGGCAATTAAATACTTTGGATAGCTCAGCTAGATCTGGATAATATCTGACTGAGTAGAGAAAAAAAAGCCCTAAACAAAACAGTTTTTTCAGTCATAGTATTCTTTTTCTCAAACAACTGCTGTGATCAAGGGCAGAAGAGATTTAAGAGGAAGAGTTTTATTTCTGGCAGGAAATATTAGGCAATCAAGTTGTAAGCAGAGCAGGTCACATGGTTGGTTGCAAAATGACTACTGAAATTAATTGTCTTGAGAATATGAAATAGTTTTTAAGAACTACCAGTGTCATGTTTAGACCGCAATCAAATTGTATAAGCCTGTGACAGGTTGGCTTTTTGTTTTATCCTCTCTTTTCTGTTGCTCTGCTCATAGCAAGCAATAGCCTGGAAGCTGAGTCATGTTTTAAGGTACATTTCTGCCCAATTCATCCTCCTTAAAGTCATCACAGTCTATTCCCTGTCTAGAAATACATCATCCACAGCCTTTTCTAGTCAGATGTTCTCAACTCTACATGAGTTGAAAAGTTTGGGGAGAATGCTTGAACATCCTGTGTCCTCTTATCCTTCTCCCAAATAGACGCCATGTCTTTCTGCCTTCATAAATAAGTTTTGATAAATTAATGAATATTATCACTTTGAGTACTGTATGTGGTTCTGGGCCAAATTTAAAGATGTTAAGGCATTCAAAACCATCCAGAGGAGAGCAACAAAGCTGGTGAGAGGGCCAGAAGGAATGTCCTACAAGGAACAGCTGAGGACTGCAGGCTTGTCTAGTTTAGAGACAAGGAGACTAAGTACTCCTTGGCTGTGACCTCATTACTCTCTACAGCTTCCTGAGGAGAGGAAGTGGAGACCCAGATGCTGATCTCTTCTCCCTGGTATATAGAGAGGCTGTGGAATCTTCCTCTTTGGAGATGTTCAAAAGCCGTCTGGACACATTCCTAGTAATGTGCTCTGGGGGACCCTGACTGAGCAGACATGTAGGACTAGTTGACGTCCAGTGGTCTCTTCCAATCTTACCAATTCTGTAATTTTATAATATGTGGTAATGGTTCAAAGCTGAGCCAGGACAGGTTTAGACTGTACATTAGTAAGCATTTCATCAGCAAGATATGGGTCAAATCCTGGAATAGGCTTCCTAGAGAGTTGATTGATGCCTCCAAACTGTGAGTGTTTAAGAGGCATTTGGACAATGTTCTTAACAACATGCTGTAGCTTTTGGTCAGCCCTGAAGCAGTCATGCAGTTGGACTAGATGCTTGTTCACAGAATTGTTTAGGTTCAAAAAGATCTCGGAGTTTATCAAGTCCCACTATGACCAAACACCACTATGTCAACAAGACCATGGCACTTAGTGCCATGTCCAATCTTTTCTTAAACACCTCCAAGGACAGTGACTCCACACCCTGGGCAGTCTATTCTAATATTTAATCACCCTTTCAGTGAAGAAATTCCTCCTAATGTCCAACCTGAACCTCCCCTGACACAGTTTAAGACTATATCCTCTTATCATGTCACTTGTTACCTGGGAGAAGAGGTCGACCCCCACCCAGATACAATCTCCTTTCAGGTAGTTGTAGAGAGTGATAAGGTCACTCCTGAGCTTCCTTTTGACCAGGCTAAACAACCACATCTGCCTCAGCTTCTTCTCCTATGACTTACCCTTCACCAGCTACTTCATTATTGTTAGTTTTGTTGCTGAATCTGATCTTTTAGTAGGTATTAATTTTCAGCACTGTTATTATTTTTCCCTGTTAGTGTAAGTTGCTTTGGCAGGCAATGCAGTAGCCTTACTAGTTGTCTTCCTTGTGCTATTAGTTTCTCAACCACCCTTGTGATCAGCTTTGTTTTCAAAGGTTATTAAATTCTTCAAAGGTTATTAAGGTTATTCCTGGATTCAGTGTTGTTCGTTTTTAGAGACAGTGCAGTTGCTAAACTGTTGGAAAAGTATTATACTTCCTGATATTTAGTTCCATCATCATTGGAACTAAAATCTGTTCATCTTGAGAGACAGAATAATGACTAGTTTTGCTTTTATTGTTACATACAATGAGAACTTGACCTTTGCATTTGAGCACAGGTCAAGTGGGAGAAATTAGTCTTCAGGGCATCTGTGTAATCAGGTCCTAAATGACATCTGAAGCTTTAGTAGTAAGTGAGGCCATTGTCTAAGTCTGGTACTAAAGCTTTAACCCCATTTCACATCCAAAAGCACGATAAGTTATTTGACAGCAAACACTGAAAGTGCAGGCACTAGTCTGACCTTTATAGAGTTGGGTGAGTGCAAGAATTACTGGTTCAGACTCTGTTATTTGAAATTAAAAAGCAAACAAGGTAGGAGACATGATGAAAACCCTTTCAATTTCACATAAATTACACAAGGTATTCAACTCAAAGCCATAAAGTCACCCACATTAATTAAAAAATTCTAAGCTGTTTGTTAAGAATCAGCTGCCATTTAAAATAGTTCTTTGCCCTTTAAGACCATATATCCAACTGAATTGCTTAAGATTGCATCTCCCCATTGCAAATTCTCTCTTCTAGGTAAATATATGTAAATAGTTTCTCTTCCTCAAAAAAATTATGATGCATTTCCATTTGTACATTTTTTAGCTTCATGTGATAAAAGTGCTTAAGATAAATTCCTATGGAATTGTTGCTCATTATGTTCTGCCAGATCTCTGAAGTGATGCCTTTAGGTCCATCTGTTTTTTTCTTATTTTCCTAATTTTTATAAGCTTTATAAGTAGTTATATAGTAGAAGTAGATTTTAGAAGCAGTAACCCTTATTCACTCACCCTTTAGTACAGTAGTTTACACTTTCCCCTACCCCATCACCCCATTCCATGCTCCCATATCAATATCCCCTGAATTCCAGTACAAAATGTTTAGTCTCTCTTTAAGAGTAGGCCCTTTTGTTTAGAGAACACTTGTACCTTGGCCTGAACCACAAAAGTACAGTCAAGAACTGGGTAAATATATTTGATGAAGGAGTGGTCTTAGAGACCCTATCCTCAATTCCCAAGGGGCATGACTGAGGGTGGTCCGGGGAAAAAGCCAGTGGGTGGACAAAACCTGGGATTGGACAACCAGTATTATAAATTGTAACAACTGTACATGGGGGGGAAGTGCACGCCTTGTAATCTCATGCCTCAGAGGCACAAATTAAAATCCTTTTCTTATCTCACCTCTAAAACTAAATTGTCTCGGAGTTTTTTTCTCTCTCCATTTTCTTTAGGCAACAGAAGCAAAGATCAAACATTCTAGAAGAGAAAAATATACATTCCAATTTAATGTCTCCTTGCAGCATCGTTATTTGGAACTGAAGAAGAGGAAGAAATCTTCATTTTGGAAAGTTATCACAATACTAATAACATTCTGGACTTTTTAAAATATCTTTCCATTCTGAGACAACTCCTCTAAACACACTACATATCTAAAGAATTGAGAATGATGTAATTGATAATTTTCATGTTTGCAAAGAAAAATGACCTGACCTTCAGGCTGAAAATATATTTCAGAGCCAAATCAAGTGCCCAGTATTTAAAAGCAGTTCAGCAGAATCCTGCAGTTGTCATTCACATATAGATATCTAGTCCGTAAACAGGGAAGAGCAATAGACTACAAAATTAGACCCTGTGTTCTGGATCTCTTTCCCCTCACATGGTGTGGGGGCACACCAGTCCTAGTTCCGTTTCCATCTGAGGAACCATTTCCGATGGCTGAGGTGGATAGGGAAGGGGTTACTCCAGCTCCAGGGGTTTCTTCAGGTCCTGGACGCATGGAGGGGAGAGCTGCTCCCCCTCCCCCCATCCACGAGGTCCCATGGCAGCCACAGACAGTACACGGGACTTGGAGACGAGGCCAGAGAGAGAGTTTATTGATGGGGTGGTTACATATATAGGTCCTAGGAGGATTCACAGAGTGACCAATTACGGGGTCAGGGGGCTTACAGGACACCCAATCACAGGTCCAATGAGAAGACTTCTTGATATCTTCTCAGGACATTCCTGAGACAGAGATAAGAACTGGCCGTGGGGGATTTTGGGAAGAAGAACATGAGTTAGCAAAGAGACTACAAAATAGCCATTTTAAAACATGTTTAAACCACAGTTTTCTCATATAATGCAGATTTGCTGCTACACTGTGTAAAGTTGCAAACAAGTCAAAGCATTAAAATTATCTTTTAGGTGACCTGAAGTTTCAAGATTTATTGGGTTCGTAGGGCTAGGTTTTGGTAGCAAAAGGCCACTGGGTTGGCTTCTGTAAGAACATGCCAGAAACCTCCCCATGTCCCACAGAGTCAATGCCAGCCGGTTCCAAGACAGACCTGCCGCTGGCCAAGACTGAGCCTGTCAGCCACAGTGGTAATGCCTATGTGGTGGTTTGAAAAACAGGAATTTCAAAAAGCTAGTTTTAACAGTTTTGCTACAATTTGTTCAAATGTGAGAGAGAAGAAGTTTTCAGACACGCACAACTTAGTATGGGGGAGGGGAATATGTTACAATTTGTTATTAACATATATACATATATAAATATATATAACAATTTTAACTATCTCTTCTATAGTGAAACAATATATATATACATAGATCGTCTCTCCTTTCCTTCAAAAAAGAGTCCAGAAAGAAAGGAGAAGAAGTCCTCTTTTCACTTTCAGGCCACAGCTCTTCCAAATTAATTTTCTGTGGCATTGGTAAGTGTCTCTTATTTTTAAGGCAGCAGTTTAGATTTGTCTCTTCTTTCTTCTGCAGCACAAAATGCAAGGGATTAAAGTCCTTATCCCCTGCTCTTGCTTCATGGAGATTCCAGCCCCTGGGGAGCGAGCTCTAGGGGATTTCCACCCCTCCTCCCCGGGGTCAAAGAGGAGGTCAACTAAACTAAGGCTTTTAGTTTAGTTCAAGTTCTTATCCTAGAACTGAGTCCAACTGACTCTCTCTCTCTCTCCGTCTGCTCTGTTCTTGGATTCACTGGTCCAATTCGCTGCTGCTGCAGGGTCCAGCCAGTTCTCACCACTCCTCCCCCCTCCACGGTGGGAAAAGGCGGTGAGGTTGGCTGGTAAACTCCTGAGGAGTCTAACTCCTGCAGTCCCGCTCCCAAACCCGGGGGGGGAGACTCCCCTC